TCGGGTGCGGATCACGGAAGCGAGACAAAGGGCCTTTTAGCGTTCAGTTTGGAGAGCAGGAAGGAAACAATGCGGTTCGGGGAACTCTGTCCAGGGAGACAATGTTGGTTGAGGGCTCACTTTGGGAGAGAGAGAGGGGGGGGGGTGATAAAGTTGCTTATTCTTATTTTATAATGTAAAAGATCAGGTATCTTTTAATTAGTGTGTGTGTGTGAGTGTGTGTGTGTGTGTGTATATGTGTGTGTGTGTGTGTGTGTGTGTGTGTGTGTGTGTGTGTGTGTGTGTGTGTGTGTGTGTGTGTGTGTATGTGTGTGTGTGTGTGTGTGTGTGCATACGCACACTGTTTAAAAGATAGCTGATCTGGTATATACATACACACACACACACACACATATACACACACACACACATATATATGTATATATATATACATATATATATATATATATATATATATATATATATATATATATATATATATATATATGTCAGGGTAGAGACTGCAATCTGGTACAATCAGAGATTCTACCAGTAGAGACTCCGATCGGAGTTTCTACCAGTAGAGACTCCGATCGGAGTTTCTACCAGTAGAGTCTCCGATTGCAGTCTCTACTGGTAGAATTTGAGATTCTACCAGTAGAGATTCCAATCAGAGTTTCTACTGGTAGAGTCTCTAATCCAAATAACCATTTTTATTTGATGATCAATGTCTAGCTAAATTTGCACTGCATACTAGTCCTCTGTAGTATTGTATTAAAAGACAACTAAATTGATTTAACCATTTTTATTTGATGATCAATGTCTAGCTAAATTTGCACTGCATACTAGTCCTCTGTAGTATTGTATTAAAAGACAACTAAATTGATTTATCAGATAGTCAATGTGATTTTGTTCAGTTTTTTTATGCAAAAGAAAAGTCTACAATACAATACAATACAATACAATACAATACAGAATCAGAGACTCAACCAGTAGAAACTCTGATCGGCGTCTCTACGGGTAGAATCTGAGATTCTACCAGTAGAAACTGCAATCGGAGACTCTACTGGTAGAAACTCCGATCGGAGTCTCTACTGGTAGAATCTCTGATTCTACCCGATTATATATATATATATATATATATATATATATATATATATATATATATACATATATATATATATATGTATATATGTGTGTGTGTGTGTGTATACAGTATATATACGTACACATACACATATATGTGTGCATATATACAGTATATATACCCACTATGTGTGTGCTTGTGTGCGTGTGCGTATGGAGTATATATACGTACACATACACATATATGTGTGCATATATACAGTATATATACCCACTATGTGTGTGCTTGTGTGCGTGTGCGTATACGTATGCGTGGGCGTGTGCGTGTGTGTGTATGTGTGGAGAGAGACAGATGGAGATATAAATTACCCTGGAACTCCGTCAGGCGGCTGCATGAAGGGCGGCGAGTGCGCGCAGTGCCCGTCGGACCGGTACACGAAGGACCCCAACGGCACCCTGCTCTGCTGTCATGGCTGCGAGACGGCGGACCTGTACTACGGCGCCTTCCCCCACAGCTGGTGCGTCTGCTTCACGAAGGGTAAGGATCCGGAGTCTTGGGCCGCGGGTTCGGTTGATCTTTCGCCTCGCTGTCGTTCACATCCATTTATATTCTTATTCTAATAGGGCAGTTAGGGAACCAGGCAGATTAAAACTCCTAATGAACTCTTTTGCGTTTAGTGATGGATGATGATTGAATATCTTTTTCGTTCAAAATTTTTTAAAGCGGAAAGAATATACTTTGCAGTTTTATCACCAGAAATATCTTCACTCGAATATTAAACCCAAGAGACATTAACCCAAATCCAATCCTGTGGCCCCCTAACCCTGGGCGCAACGTAAGATTCCTAAGTGAAATAAAAGCTTTCATTTAAGATTTGTGCTTCATGAACCTTAAATGCAATATCTCATCGAAGAAGTTTCTATTATTTACTTTTTGTAACACATTTGCCCCAAAGAAACATGATTTCAGTTTATTTTTCTGTTTTGCTTGCCTTACTTTGGTTATTTGTTTTCATAGTGCGTTTTCTTGTTAGTTGTATGTAAATCACTTCCATTTTTTTTGTTGTTGTTTTTTTTTCATGTAATTATGCGTGGAATATAGAGATTCACGTGGCATGCTCAGAGTGCCATCATTGAAAAAAAAAGTTCGGGAATGGCAGGTCGTGGCAAATCTAACACCGTGTCTCAGACGGCACTACATGACTCTGATTTCATTTCAGGCGCTAATGAAGCGTCTTCGAGAACGCTGGTGTTTCCGGACCAAGTCGGCGCCGGTTCTGACTTCAAGTTCAGGGATGAGACGTATGTGGTGAATTCTGCAGGTGAGGACTTGATTAAGGGAGGTGCGGGCGGGTGTATGCAGAAGAAAAAATAGGCGAGATAGAACAGTGGAAACATAAAAAACAATAGTTCAATATCTCTTTCGTTTTAACACAAGCTGGCTGAAAATGATATATTTAGTATATATTATTATTTAAATAAATACACACACACACACGCACACACGCACACACGCACACACACACACACACACACACACACACACACACACACACACACACACACACACACACATATATATAGAGAGAGAGAGAGAGAGAAAGAGAGAGAGAGAGAGAGAGAGAGAGAGAGAGAGAGAGAGAGAGAGAGAGAGAGAGAGAGAGAGAGAGAGAGAGAGAGAGAGAGAGAGAGAGAAATAAGGCGCAGAAAGGGCACGAGCGAATTCCTCGTAAACAACAAAACATAAGCACTACTCCCTGACCCGCACTGAAGCCTCCTATGCGCCCTTCCAGACCCGCGTCCCTCGGCTGTGGCTCCGGTGGTCGAGGAAGCCCTGAGTCTGCTCGCCGACACCTTGGAAGACCTGAACGCCCGAGTCACGCGCCTTGAGTACATATTTGACAAGGTTTCAGGTCAGTGCGGGCGAATGTGGATTTTTTGTGACAACTTCGGTGTTCGTATATTTCTTACTTATTGGTCATCGAAGGTTGATACATAACAATCTTTTTAAATCATAGCACATTCATTTTTTTATCCTAAACAACGCATTTAACTCGATCCGAACCAGATTCACAAACAAGCGAGACCGTGAACCGAGTCGGATCAGCGACCTCGCATCGTCCGTCCTCGTCGTCCTCCTCCTCCTCCTCTTCATCTTCCTCTTCTTGCGGTTCAGATAAATTTATCCGCGTGGGAGATAAGTGTTACTTCTTTTCCGCGTGGAATGAACACAGAGCTACGTGGAAGGTTAGTTATCACTGCAACGATGGTAACGATTATAATCTTTAATGACTGCGGATTAAATACTTTTATCTATACGAGTTACGTGTCACTGCAACGTGTTTTATCAGTTGTTTTTACAGCTCATTTAAGTTATTCTAAGATGAAGTAAGAGGATTGGTGTCAAAACATCTTAAGAGGATAGTATACATGATAGACTGTGATAAAGCATGAGATATAGTTGTTCTAGTTTGCCAAACAATATCATATATGAAACAACCCTCAAAATAATAATTACGCAATGTCCCACAGTAATTAAGCAATATGCACAGAGATGTAGAGGAAGTAACATGATTAAATGTCCATAATAATTTGCACACTGCCTTCAGATTGCCAACACGTCCTGCGAGCAGCTGGGCGCCAAGCTGGCAGAGCCGACCACGCCGCGGCAGTTCACTGCTCTCTCTCAGTATCTCTCATTGTCCTCAAAAACCACAGGTGAGTGCGAACCCAATAACAAATTTATTATCTAGAAACAAATGATAATTCCAAGACAAACAGGAACATTAAAATGAGTGTATGTAAGTAAGCATGTGTTTGTGCTTAAATGTATGCGTCAGCCTTTTTCAGTACTGAACGCATTCTATGATATATTCAGCATCCGGACACAAATAATATTTCTAAAGAAACAAATGAGATGCGATGGGTGTTTAAAACATACGAAACATGACTGCATTAGCTTTAAAATGCGTTCCATAGCTACCTCTAATGCTTAACGAACTGTGTTATTTTTCTTTCAACACAGGTTTATATCACTTCCCCATAGAACACAGAGATCCCCATCTCCAGTAGGGTTTTCCGTGAATATTCCTACCTAACTGTCACCCTATAGCTAACGGAAGTTAACTGAATCCACTTTAAGCGACCAATTCATGTCCTTAACTTTGGAGTCATTTTGGCGAGAGAACAGAGTGATATCTTCAGACATTTCCAGAGCTTTCTATCGGGTCCTGATATCTACAAATCTGTCCATTTTACACTACTTCCTGTACAAACGTTTTCCTTGTAGCCAGATAATTGCTACGTTTCTCTTCTTGGCAACATTCCAATACCTGCCTTGCGTTTCGTTGGAAAATGCGGAATACTTTTATGCGCTACAAAGAATACGCTAGAACGAAACGGTCTGTAGCGCTACGGTGACGCTCAGATGTAAACACTGACACACGAGCTTTTTTTCTGTTTAAACGCATTTACTACGATTTTTATTTATACTAGTATTTATGACAGTCATCTTTTTATCTTTACATATCATATTTTCCAGGCTTACAAGGCTAACAAATCAGGAATCATGCTCTCATGTTTCTCCACATTTAACATCCTTTGCTTAGCTGAATACGTAGTCAAATGCCGGTAAAGAAGTACCAATTAGGTTTCATTGATCTTAATAGTTCATATGGCAGAATCCATACCGAAAAATCTCTCGAGACCGTAACGTTTGCGCGCCATACAAAAAATGTAGTATCGTGCTACAGGCCTTTCCGTTGAAATTGTGCGCTACACTCTCTCTCCCTCCCTTCCTCCCTCCCTCTATCTCTCCCTCCCTCGCTCTCTCTCTCTCTCTCTCTCTCTCTCTCTCTCTCTCTCTCTCTCTCTCTCTCTCTCTCTCTCTCTCTCTCTCTCTCTCCCTCTCTTTCTTACTTTATTTCTTTTTATATGTAAATGTATATATATACATATATATACATATAAATTTGTATGTTATATATATATACATACACATATATATGCATATATATACACATACATATAAATATATATGTATAATTATATATTATATATATTATATATATATATATATTTATATATATATATATATATATATATATATATATATATATATATATATATATATACATGTATGTATAGATATGTATGTATAGATATGTGTGTATATATATACTTCTATATATGTATATATATCTATATCTCTCTCTATATATATGTGTGTGTGTGTGTGTGTGTGTATGTATGTATGTATGTAAGTATATATAATTGTATGTGCCCTTTTTGGGTCATGTTCTGTGGATTCTGTTTGTTTGTGTCGTTCTCTTTCATATGGTTTTGTTTTTCTTTACTTGAGGTATCTACTACACAAAACAATATTTGCATGTTTATAAATATATATATATATATATATATATATATATATATATATATATATATATATATATATATATATATATATGTATATATATATATATATATATATATATATATATATATATATATATATATATATATATATATATATATGTGTGTGTGTGTGTGTGTTAATGTTAAAATGATGACGATGCAGAAAACTATCGAAACAAGAAAAAAGTATTTGCTGCAGATCTAAGAGAACTACAGTTATGTGTGCCAGTAATTTGTATGTCTAACTGCATTATCACCAAAATGTTCTCATTTATGTTGTATATCCTCCTATTTACAAGTAATATTTTTAGTATAATGTGGGAACAATGTAATTACGTGACACACCATGATATTCGTCAGACGCATCACGGCTTCCGACGGTGCTACATGTACGAGGGGGCTTCAAAAACTTCGTGGGAAAAGTCCATAAGTAAAAATCATATGGAAGGATTTTGACTTCATTACACCTGACTATTCTTTTACCAACGTGTTATAACGTGTTAAAACATGAACCCTTAAATGAAGGTAATAACGCATCGCTGCCACTTGGAAGTCAGGCACCATTCAAGCAATATGGAATCCACCAGAATCGAGGCCAGGACAAACATTAAATTTATGCCCCAAAGAAATCAACAACCTACAAATGGATCAGTAAGCTCAGAAGTGGAAGAAACGAAATTGAAGATGAGCCCCGCTGTGACAGGCCATCAACGCCAGTTTGTGAGGAAAACATTGATGCTGTTCGCGACATGATTGAAAAGGACAGACAATTAACCACTGAATCAGTAACAGACACACTCAACATCTTTGTGGATTCTGCACACATAATTCTGGTGGAGAGTTTGAGGCTAAGCAAGTTTTCTGCTCAATTAGTCCCTAGGCAAACAGCAGCAAACAAGGATAGATTTTTAAATGGAAATTTTGAACACATGGAATGAAGATTCTGAATCTTTTCTGCAGAGAATTTGCTGGATGAACCTCATGAAAAATGCCCTGGAAAGCTGCATCACTGCGTTATCTTCCATTCCAAGAGCTGTCCTACGTGGATTTCGATGGGAAATCGTCCAATCGACCTTGCAGCCCCAACGTAGCCCCAACTGATTTCTTTTTGATTCCAAACTTTTAAAAAAATAAGTGAAAGGTACCAATTTTCCATCGGCTGAAGATGTAAAAAGAGCTGCTCTGACATGGTTCAGATCACATGACTTCCAACTGGCGGCGATGCGTTATTACCTTCATTTAAAGGTTCATGTTTGAACACGTTATAACACGTTAGTACAAGAATGTCTAAGTGCATTGGAATCAAAATCCTTCCATATGATTTTTAGTTATGGACTTTTTCCACGACCATTGTGAAGCCCCTCCTATGGCTGTTGATCTCCCCCAGATATGTGACTTCTTGGAGAAAAGAATTCACAAGATTACCAAGATTGTTTCCTTTAAACAACGTAGTCATCACCGTGAATGTCCACACGACACTTATGTACCACCATTTCCGCCATGCATTATGTAAACCAGAAAATTAATCTGATCAAAACTTTACCACCCTCAGGCTACGCCCACTGGATCGGCGGGCTGTACCTGGACCCGTCGTGGCGCTGGATCTTCAAGGGGTACGAGATCGACCTTGACCCCCTGTCCTGGATCAGCATGGACGACCGCAACAGGAGGGTTTCCCCGGGGGACATTTCGAACGGTCGGTGCCTCAGCTTCTCGTTCATTCACCGAGCCTCGAGCTACGCATTCGGAGGGGGTGAATGCGCGTTCGAAAAGTACTACGTGTGCGAGGCTATTGAACGGACCCACAGGATGCTTTAGGGACGCAGGTGTTGGTCGCGGCTTCGTCGGGCATTCCCGAGGCAGGAATTTATGTTGTCACTCTAGGTTAAGGTGTGGTGCGAGAGATGTTTGTTTTTTGTACTTTGTTAGAATATATTGTGTCTGGTACACGTTGTTTTAGAGGAGTAGCCTAGAAGAATCTGGTTTTACTCTCTCTCTCTCTCTCTCTCTCTCTCTCTCTCT